TAGTTATGTGAAAGGAGTTCTGAGGAGACAATAAGATGTTTGGAGGATTGTCTCATAGGTGACACATATCCAAAGATGAGAGATTATAGGGTCTTTTATAGCAGGCCCTGGAGGCCAGGAGAGAAGAAGAGAGACACCCCATAGAGCCTTAGGCCAATCACACTCACAAAGCAGCCTTCTGCCTGGAATTCCACCTCTGATCTCCTGTGGTCCTTCCTCACCCTCCCTGGCATGTCCTAGTTTTAAGCCCTTTCCATTCTCTTCTGTGCTAGACATATAGTAGGGCCTTAAAACTTAAATAATTTGTTTTTAGGAAAATGGACATCTAAATTAGTTTTTAAATTAATGTCTAGCATATTTTAAAATTATTACAGTGTGTGTGTATGTGTGTGTGTGTTTGCATGCAGGTCATGGTATATATGTGGAGGTCAGAGAGCAGCGTGTTGAATCCTGTCACCTTCTACCGTTGCTTGAATTAGGTCATCAGTCTTGGGAGCAAGCGCCTTTACCTACTGAGCCATCTCTCCAGCTTCCTCGTGTACTTTCCAAAAACACTGGCTCTTTAGACACGAGAAAGAGGTTATTAGAAGAGTTAATTTACCCCAAGCTTGCTTTAAGGAGGTGAAGCCAGGCAGTTATCAAAACCTTGCTTCCCAGGGTCCCTTTCAGCAGTACCTGTAATGAAGTGATAACGTGTGGGAAAGCGGCGGCCCGTGACAGTTGAAACAGCTCCGCCTTGGCGATACGAATGAGAATTTCAGGCTTGCTTCAGAAAAGAGTTGGCAGGAGAAAAAGACCAAGTGTAAGTTGCCCAGAGATAGACACCCTTGTCATACCTTGCAACTCCTAACAGCCTTGTTCTGGTTGGTGTTGCCCCACAGGACATTTTTACCCTCAGCTTGTTGCCCTGTACCCTCTGAATTCATGCTGTTTGTAGAGAACTCCTTGCAACCCTTTTATAAAGCCCTCCTGACAGGTAGGAATGAGTCAGCAGTTCAGTTGCCAACCACAGAGGCCAACTTCAGCTAATTGAGCACAAAGAGAACTCGCTGGAGGGGCGGGCACCTGCCCCATCGACTAAGAGGAAACAGTTACTGATGGCTAGGTAGCGAAGCATCATAGCCAAGTAGGGGGCAGCAGGCCTCTGGCAGCCTTTCGGGTGCTGCCCTCCAGACTGTACTTGCCCCAGATGCTAAGTGCTGGGAAAGAGCACTGGATTGGCTCTGAGCCTGTCCTCAGCTGCACCATGGGCAGGGGAGACTTTCACAGGCAGAAGCGACACTGGGTACCAGGCACATAAAGAGAGCTGTACAGGGCTAGATGCCAGATGATGCATATCCCACCCTTCAAATAAGCCAAGACACTTGGAGGTGTTAAAGAAAATCTAACTGTACTGAAATCCCCAACGCTTCTCAAATCTTTTCCATTTGTGATCATTTGATGTCGGAGAAATATTTACACAATCCAGAGTGTTCAAGTACATAATATACATGCACAAATCATTTATTGCAACAAATCATAGAAACTTAAAACAATCTTTGATGCACGTAAGTTTTTTGTTTGTTTTTTTGAGACAGGATTTCTCTGGCTATCCTGGAATTAGCTCCCTAGACTAAGTCAGGCTCAAATTCAGAGATCTACCTTTCTCTGCCTCTTGAGGGCCATCACTGCCTGGTTATTAAAAACAAAAGCAAGCCGGGCGGTGGTGGCTCACGACTTTAATCCCAGCACTTGGGAGGCAGAGGCAGGTGGATTTCTGAGTTCGAGGCCAGCCTGGTCTACAGAGTGAGTTCCAGGACAGCCAGGGCTATACAGAGAAACCCTGCCTCGAAAAACCAAACAACAAACAAACAAACAAAAAAAAAACAAAAAAAAATCCCAAAGCAAATTTGCATCCTAAGAGATGTACTCATTGGATTTTGCACAAGGAATTAGATCATGGCTCAGTATCCAATCCTGCAGGTTTTAGAACATCTTCAGTATTTTTCAGTTGACTGATATTTTGATTTTACCATCAGCAGTGATCCATTGAGGATACTGCCTGGAATAAATACATAGTACAAAATGGCAGAGGTTTATTTAGGGCCATACAGTTAAGAGTGCTTCCTGTTCTTACAGAGGACCCAAGTTTGTTTCCCAGCTCTCATGACCAGCGGATCACAATCATCTATAAATCTATTTACAAGGAATCCAGTGTTCTTTTCTGGCCTCAGATCCCCTTCCACATACATACATACATACATACATACATACATACATACATACATACATACATAAACATGAACATTGCTGGAAATTCTGTCCCAATCCCAGGCCACAATTCACTTGCGTATGAGTAGGCATGCACATGCGTGTGGAACTCAAGTCAGCAACTCAAACAGCAGTCTCCCCTGCCCCCACTCTGTTTTTTCAATGTCTGGTTACTTATTTGTTACTGCTTTAGCATGTTCTGCAGCCTCCCCCGTCACTCTTCTCAGTGTGCTGTTTTTTCAGAGCAACATGTCAGCGTGCGTATTGCAGGACATGTGAAGTATCAAGAGGCTGAATCCTCTGGGTGCTTCCTTTGGTCCTGCACTTCTGACCATCTTTGTTTAAGGCTTTCTAACTACATATTGGCAGACATCATCTTCTTTATAGAGACTGAAAAACTTTCAGATTCTGCAAGCTCATTTACCCCGCCAAGTGCAGAGGCAGAGTAGTGTCTGTCAGTCCAGGAGTTATCCCTTTTCTTCCTTCCTTTCTTTCTTTCTTCCTTTCTTTCTTTCTTTCTTTCTTTCTTTCTTTCTTTCTTTCTTTCTCTCTCTCTCTCTCTCTTTCTTCCTTCCTCCCTCCCTCCCTCCCTCCCTACCTCCTTCTCTCTTTCTTTCTTTCCTTCTTTTTTTTCTAAATAATAACCAAGCTAAGAACACTCTGATTGGCATTCAAACTGCATCCGAGAACAGACTTGTGTTTCCTATCTTCAGATGGAATAATTTATGTCTGTGTGGGGTGTAGAAATAGAGTTAAATTGTGTGTCACTAAAAAGCAATCCCAGGTTGGTTAAAAAGAAAAAGCAAACTGTGGGGTTATGTGAATAAAGTATATTTAAAACTTTGACATAAATAGATTGTCACAAGCAGGACAAAACACAGAAATCAACAAGATAGTGAAATCTGGCTTCTTGGTTGGTAACTGGAGCTTTGTATGAGAACAGTCACAGAAACTTTGCTCATTGCCACTTCCAAAGGTCAAAGTTCAGGTGTCCATTAGGCAACTACTGATCACAAGGCCTTGTAACACAACTCTGGAACTTGCCTTGACTGAAAGGAACCAGACACAGATTATTCCATTCATATGAAGGTGGGAAACAGGCAGAAGTAACTTAAAGTGGGAAAAAAATAACAGAGGCCAGCAGGGGCGAGTCGGGAGGACAGCACTTTCTGGGAAGGAACTTTCTGAAGCGGCAGTAATACTCCTGTCTTGATAGGTCCATGGGTGACAGTTGTTCCCTTAATTGAACCTTAACAAACACATGCTTAATAACATGTGTGCCTGTTTATTTTTATTCATGTTTATGTATGTATGTATGTATGTATGTATGTATGTATGTATGTGGAAGGGGATCTGAGGCCAGAAAAGAACACTGGATTCCTTGTAAATAGATTTATAGATGATTGTGATCCGCTGGTCATGGGAGCTGGGAAACAAACTTGGGTCCTCTGTAAGAACAGGAAGCACTCTTAACTACTGCACTATTTCCTCAAACCCAAATCTGTGTTTTATTGTACGTAAATTTTATCTTTAATGATAATTTAAAAAATGAATGGCATGTATGCTGAATTTAGGAAGGAGTTTACTGATGACTCTAACTTTGAAATATGCAAAAAAGAAAAACTGTCAGTAGATGCTTGCATACATATCACCACAGAAAAACATTTAACGTAAGAGCTAGGACGTCATGTGGATGCTGCCGAATCCTCTGGACCTTCTCATGTGCGTGGAGTTTTTCACAACAGAACGTAGGAAGAAGCAACAGACTGAGGGATCTTTATGCATAACAAGTTGATCATCGATAGGAAAATGTGAAACAAGTGGCTAAAAATAAGTCTGCTCCCTTCAGACAAAATGACAGTGCCAATAGGACCTGGTGTCATGGGAGCTGTGAACAGGTCTGTCTAATTTAAATCAAGAGGGCCAACGCCTCCTCACACACCAGGCAAGTGCGAGTTTGTCACTGACAGAGCTTCCTCAGAGGTTGAGGGAGCATTCTAGTGGCTGCTGCTGGTGAGCCAGGCCAGAGTACTGTCTCAGTGTTGGATGCAGTAGTGGGGTGAAGTGGAATCATTCTAGAAAGATCTATGACCTGTTGTTAGGTAAAGGATGTAGTTACAGTATTTATGCAAAACGCCTAGGTGAGCATACATGCCCATGCCCACACGGCGGGAAGAGTTCTAGAAAACTGTAGACTTTTTGCATGAGGGTTGGGGGTGGCAGCCCAAACGATTCCCTTGCAACAGGTTGATGAATTTTATAAGGCCTCATTTCTGTGCCGCTTAATTAGTTAACAGCATAAGTAGATGCCTGGTTTAAAACTGTCCAGCATTCTTCCCAGCAAGAATTTCAGACTCAGTCAAATCCTGTACTCGCTCACATGGACCTTACAACGTGTATTCCCAACAGTGCCTCGGTGTCTCTTCACTCCTAATTTAGTCCAGAGATTAGCAGTCCTTCTGCAAGCTGACCAGAGAGCAGTCCTCCCTCAACCTACCTCTTCCTCCCAACATCTTTCTACTCAAGTATTGAATCATGGCTGACTCCGTGGGCAGGACGTTTTGTCATCTGCTTCAAAACTGTTCAGCGTGGTTTGCTTTTACCTATATATACTACACAGACTCATTATCAAGCAAGAAGTTACAAGCTCTACATGCAGGTAATGTGCTCTGATATTAGGCAGGGGTGTGTATCTACACGTATCCCCAGTTGTCGGCCATTTTGAAGAACACAAATCAAAACAGCTCACGAAAGCTAGTCGCAAGTTTTATTTATATAAAATTCATTAAGAACATAAAAGAGTTTCTTAAAAAAATCTGCAGTTATTTACAGCAGTATTGCACAGGTACAGTGGCAATTACCCTGTCAAAATTCATCAGTGCAAAACATAAAGGAAGCCAGGGAACTGCAATACAAATGCTACATACGCTGGGTTCTGACGTTAGTGATAGGGTACTATACAGAGATCAGTGCTGTTCACTAAAGGATACCTGACAGGTCTGGATACAGAAACCAGTGGTCACAGAACCTAGACAACAAAACACATGTGAAAGAGATCAAGTACTTTGCTGGAAACATGATGCTTTGCGCAATGCTGTTTGAGAGGGATTCCCCGCTGGTTTAGCGACACGTGTGGACAGGACCCGCACAGACATACTGAGCGGATGGACACACACAGGCACCAGGCTAAATCAGCAGGGAGGACAAAACCATTTACATGAAGTCACATGGCTCTAGAGCTTCAGCGAGCTTTTCCATCTTGACACCCAGGCTGGTGGGAACTTGGACTTTTGTTGAGGGAAGCAGGTAGAGGCAGCCTAATGCAGTGCACAGGGGGAAGGAGCCGAGTGGCATGGGTAAATTCAATCTGCAGACCTCAAAACATAGGAAGCACACAGCAGGTGGGGACAGTAGCCAGTGAGTGTCCTGGTGACACGAGTGGCCTTGGCAAAAGCTCTAGAAACAGGTCCCACCAGCCCTTCTCTTACCCAGGGCAGCCATTCAGCAGTACCTCAAGAGGAGCAGGATTATATTTCTCTCAACACTGAGTTGTCAAAGATACTCTTTCAATTAAAGAAAAAAAATCTTCCCCATCTGCTGCTAATACTTCTCTAAGGATATGGCCAACTTATTGGTAAATCTTCTGCTTTTCTCAGAAGCCAGCTGCATTACAAGTGGGTTTGATGGGTATTTTCTTAGAGTCCAATCTTCCGGGCTCCTGCATCTAGGGTATCTCACCGGCAGCAAAACACTCATTTCACCAGAAAGGCGGCAGGATCCAAGCACTGAATGCCAGAAGCCAAGCAGAAGCCACCTTGGAGGAACAGAACCAGTCACTGACCCCCTTTATCAGGAGCTGAAGCAATTCATGGCATGGCAGGGGTGTCAGGGATAGGGATGTCAACACTTTCAAGAACTTAAGACATTAAATAAGCGGAAAATAAATATACAACGTCTCTACAAGTTACAGCATTATGAAACAGTAGGGCACATTACACAGAAGAACCTAGGCTATTTACAATCCTTAAGTATGAGAAGTTTGAAAGAAAAACAGTGATTTTTTTTACTCATTTATCCTGTACAATATTTTACAAAGGAAGGTAAAGGGAATACAATTGCACACAGACATTTGGCTCAGTTGACGAGTGAAACATGACTTCCTAATCTAATAAATAGTCAAAATATATACAACACTGGAAGGAAACAGGAGAAGCGACATTACCCATTACAGACTGACAAAGAGAGACTTTAAACTGATTTCAGATCCCCCCTCCCCAAATTCATCAACTTTTTTCTGGGAAGGAAACTTGAAGAATGACTCAGGACACCATTTTGTATGTTTATTCCAACTTGAGGTGAAGTCACAGGACACTATTTACAAACCTCACATTGGGGAGGCTGTCAAGGCACAAAACCCGCATTATGTTTACACACACACACACATACACACACGCACACACACGCGTGCACACACACAGACACACACACACAGAGAGACAGACAGACAGACACGTGGGGGAGGGAGATCTAGTTTCTGTCCTACCAAGAAAGAGAAAGAATAATAAAATTAAGTACAAAGGCCTACCCACAGTAAGCAGGGATACTCTCGGTAGGAGACGTTTGGATTTTAAGAAACAGATACAGTACAGGGACATCCAGTCATGTTTAAGTTCTGGGTGCCGCATCCTGTTCTTGAATACTTCTACAATTCATAGAATCTCTTATTTCCCTATGAGCTGCTTCAGCAGCCAGCCCCAGGCTGGAGGTAAGCACGCTTCAGGGGACACACATGCCACTGGCACCCGGCTCTGGGAGCCTTCTGCACTTGCCCAGGCAGTACCACAGAGCCACAGGGCTGAGACAGTAAAGTGCTCCAGTCAGGGAGACTGGCACATGGAAATGGAGGTCCTGGGAGGGAGATGGCCCAGAACCAAGCATGTCTTTGGTGTGTGTGTGTGTGTGTGTGTGTGTGTGTGTGTGTGTGTGTCAGGTCAGAGCCATGGTTGCACTCTTAACATCAACTTACAACCATAGGCCTCATGGGAACCCACGAGCAGGCTCAATACATCAGGAAAGGAGGTGAACGCCAAGACAGCTTTCAAACTATTACAAATCTAAGGAAGCTGGGAAAGCATTTATAAAGACTATTTGGGTCAGATGATCTCAATCTAGAAGAAAGCATATAGGCAATATATATATATATATATATACACATATAAACACACACACACACACACACACACACACACTCGAAAGTAGGAACGAATGGGCTTCTCTCAATAACGTAAGAAAAACCACTGGCTTTCTATAGACCAAAAGCAAACAGTTGTTGGCACTGCTGACTTGGGTAGAAACTCATACACCTCTCTAAGCAAGCTGCCTGATGTCTGAACTTCTTACAAGTGAGAGGGATTGCCACTCCCCCAACCCCTCCCATGTTCTTTCCACTTGGTCCTTTTTTGTATCTCCCCTGGCTGTCTGCCTACAGGTGTGCTGTTTGTTTTGGGACACAGGGCCTCTACACGATAGGAAGCGCTCCTCCACCAGGCTATGCACTTCCAGTGCTGCCTGCTCTTGAAATAACTGACCAATGTATGGGCTGTGGTACATGTGGTCCTAAGGGGCAGGTACCAAGAAAGAGCAGACACAGACACAGGTAGCCCAACAAGATCCAAGTGTTAAGAAAATGGAGAGAGCAAAGCAGGCAGACATCTTGTGGAAGACAAATGCTTTACTTGGTAGAATGGAGGTGTCCTATGTATGGAAACTGATGAAGTAGAGCCAGCTCCTAACTCGAGGGAATGGAGATGAAATCCAGGACTCACAGGCCAGGTAGGATGAGCAGGGCTACATATCAAGAAGCATGGAAAAGAATCACCTGAGCTCCTTGCTCCTGAAATGACCTGGCCAATCACCAGGAAAGTGTGGACTCTAGCTCATCTGGTACACACGGCAAAGCAGAGCCTATGGCGGCAGCAAAGCCAGTAACCAGAAGAGCCAACAGCTTCAACAAGTGCTGTGTAAGCCCACATTCTCTCAGGATAAGAGACAAACAAACCCACCACAGAGAAGTGAAGTGCACAAGAGCCCTTCCCATGAGTCAGCTTGATTTTGATGGAGCTGGGAACAATCCCGGCAGCCCCTAGCCCTTGCTGACACACATACATTTGAAAACACCCTGGGTTGAACCTGTGCATCAGTGTGGAGATAGATTGAGGGGTCTGAGGAGTTGAGGGAAAGCATGAAAAGTGTGAATTTCTGCCACAGAGGCAACTGAGCTAAGGAGGTAAATATTTACAAAATGGAAGTGGCGTACCAGAACAGAGCCTCTGCCGCTTGACCTCATTCCATTTCATAAGAACTGTTTTGGTAGTAATAATTCAAAAGGAAACTCAAAGAGGCCATGGCAGAGGAGAGAGGGCAACACCATCCTCTTCCTGTTTAAAAAATTCTGTACAGTAATCTCTAAAAATAAACTAAGGCAGCCTTATAAATCAGCTGGCTCAGTTCCCACTGCAGAGTTACTTAATCCTCTGAGTAGGCAATGGGTTAAGAATTTGAGTATAAAAATCATCCATAAATTGGCTAAAAAATTTTCCTTTCTGAAACAAAAAAAAAGACAAAAAAAAACCAGTTATCAAAGAAAGTGGGTTTAAAAAAATTAACATACCACATGTAAACACCTCTTCTGCATATTTCTCTGTTCCTAGGATCTGTACACTAAAAAGAGAACCCCCCCCTTGTTTACATTCACAACAAATATTTACTGAAAATTCAGCCATGTGGTGATGAACAGAGGCTCTGTTGACATCGACACAGTGCAGAGCGCTGTCCAGGCCTCAGCACACCTCTCTGGGATAGAACCACTGGGTGTACTGTTGCAGCACCAAGAGATGGAAGTGCTGGGGTTCTCCCGGTCTGAACAAGAGCAATGTCCCGCCATTTATCCTGGCTGTATGAAGATCCTGTCAATGCCTTCTCCATACCAGACGGAAGATGAAACGTAACAGTTGTAAGATAATCATTTGAGGGTGGTCTTCAGCCTCCCGGTAATCATGTACAAACACCTGCAACAACAGAAACAAATTCTTAGTTATTCCCCAGTAATCTGGAGAAGGCACATTAAAGGCAAGGGACACACCCCATCTGAATTGCAGGGAAACTCAAATTCCATCTGCCCTGCCAGGGAGAAGGATGTGACATCATAGAGTAGAAGTGTACCGAATGAACTTTCCATCACTGGGAAACAGAGTGAACAGAAGACCAAACTATTCCAAAGGTATCCTAGAACTGTAAACCTTCACGTGGGTGCTGGGCAAGAGCCACGCCAGGTCACCGATGTTGGTGTCTCAGGAGAAGCGGCTGAGGGTGTGGGGAGAGCAGAGGAAAAGAAAGAACAAACCTGGGGTCCTTAACTACCAACCACAGTCACTGGTATTTTACTCCCTCAGAGATGGATTCTGGTAACTGTGATTGACTTAAGGAAGCAGTGATTTGGGGGTAATGTGCCCCAAGAAGGTAAATAAAGTGGCAGGGTTGTGCCTCTGGTTACAAAGGAAAAACAAAGATCCTGGAGGGGCTGCCCACTGTCGAAGACAAGGGGCTGAGTCAACCTCACCCTCCCACATCAGACCCAGGAAGGAAAGGGCAATTAAGAACAACGCGTGATTACTTGTGACATATGTAGGTTTGTTACAGTCTGAAGACTGTTCAGAAGGAAACCTCAGACTCATTTGAAGACCTCAGAGCCCCTTTGCACATTCCCAGAGTGTTCACATCTAGGTTCTAACTCATCTCATTGGACAATGAAAGGCAAGGGAAATACATTTGCCTCAAGGCTATCGGCCACAACCTGGTTCAAAGTCAAGGCTGAAGTCGGCCCTGAACAATTAACCCACAAACAGGACCTGGCTGTGTGGCTAACCCAGCCCCTGACAGATCCCCCCACCCCCCAATTCATTTTGGTGGGAAAGGCTCCTACGGACTGTCTGGGAATGACCATGAATCAGACTGGGACTGTCTGTTCCCTCTCAGACTCCAAGGTCCCCACAGACTCTGCCAGCTGTGAGGGGAGCTCTCCTCACCCCACTGTTTACACAGCTCTCAGGCTCTAGGGGCCAGGGCATTTCCCCTTCTCTTTCCATAACAAGATGGGAGGAAATCAGCTTTATGTCAGCGATTCCTGTGGAGGTGCTCCCGTGACCACAGGCTGCGATTTTATCGGCTCCACACACACAAGATTGCTTTGTTTTGATTTAACTTTCAAAATTACTTTGCTCCTTTTGTGTGAGACTAACTCAGGGGAAAGTTCATTTTGGTGAAGACGAATATTAATAGGCCGAAAAAGAGGCTTATTCAAAATAGAACCACAATTCACTAAAACAAAGAAAGCATGCGCTACGACTGACTAAGCAATCAATCCAAGGTGGGAAGACTTATACTGACCTATGTCATTGCTGCCCTCGGCATAACCAGATGCTAGGGCTGACTGGATGATGACAGCCAACACACCCAAAATGGGTCACTCAAGTGAGGGGCCTTAACTGCTTACATTTGATAAGCTTCAAATTCTAGCCCTGGCAACATCTGGGGAGATAGCAACCATGTGAGGTTGACAGGTAGACAATGGTGACTGCAGTCAAGGTTAACAGGAAGACATGGACAAAGGACACATAAGCTCAAGCTAGGCGGCACTGACATGGGAATGCAGGAAATTTTGGCAAAGGGAAGACCCGGTTCTTGGAGCGGGAATGAGGTGGGGGAGGTGCCACCCTCTCGGCCGGTATGACAGCACGGCACGTGCCTCTAACAAGCGAACAATTGCTTTTGGACAACATTCAATGGAGGAAGCCATTAGTACTGATTCAGAGCACAGTGCCAGTCCAGAAATCCCTTGACAGCTGGCACGGCGGCTGGAGCTGCTCCTCTGGCCCAGCACATGTGGCCCACACAACAGAAAACAGCTGGAGGATGGGCGGCTCTAGCTTACGTCAGATTCAGCAATGAGGCTGCTGCAGGTGCACCTCAGTCTGAGCCTAGTGTGGGATGGCAGGAGACTTGAAAGCTGAAGCAGAATAAAGCCAGGAAGCCAGGGTTTAATGCTCAGGACCAGGGAGAGAGAGAGAGAGAGAGAGAGAGAGAGAGAGAGAGAGAGAGAGAGAGAGAGAG